TGTCCTGGAACTCACTCTGTAGACCAGGCTGGCTTCCAACTCAAGAAATCCTCCTGCCTCTGCCTCTTGAGTGCTGCGATTGAAGGTGTGCACCACCATTGCCTGGCTGGAATTACTTTTAAAGGGATAAAAACTGTTCTAGAGCTAGACAGAGTGGCAGCTGTGCACTACATGGCATGGACGCACTACATACCACTGAACTGTACTCTTTAAAAATTATTAAACTGCTGAAATTTATATTATGTTATGAATTTTACCTTAAACATAAAACAAACTAAGAAAACAAGCTGTGTGACTTTGGGGTGAGTGACAAAGCCTCTCTGAACCTAAAATCACAGGCATATGACATCATGACCACACATGCTGGTTGGGTGGACCCTGAGGAGGGCCTATGGAAAGAGACCAGCACAGAATGAAATGGGCCTCCTGTAATGGTTATTAGGATGTGCTGGAGCAACTTACCTGACATTTGGAAGTTTCCATGTTGTCAAATGATCCTTTTAAGTAACAAGAACACCAAAAAGACAGTTGGGGGATGGAGGATGGGTAAGATGAAAGATAAAAAAGGAAGATGACCCTACTCTATAGTATTTTGTTTTTGTTATTGAGATAGGGTCTCACTATGTAGCCCCGGCTGACTTAGAACTCACTCTGTAGATCAAGCTGGCCTTGAACTCACAGAGATCTGCCTGCCTCTGCCTCTACCTCCCCAGTGCTGGGATTAAAGATGTGTGTCACCATGATGTTTATTGTTTGGGATTTTTTTGTCTTTTTGCTGGGGGTGGACACTAGGGCTTTGCACATGCTAGGCAAATTCTCCACCACCAAACTCTACCCAAACCCCGTATCATATTTATAGTATGAATCTATCCTGTGTGGAGGTAGAAGACAAATTAGTCATGGAGACTAAGGGGCCACTTTGCCATAAGTTGACTGCCTGATCACCTAAAGTTCTACTTCTTTTATGAGAGCCTCAGGACCCTAGGCAGGAAGAGAAGTTCCATCTATGCAAAAGCCCTAATCTGGAAACAGCTTTGTAAACCTCAGATTTTGGAGTTGGGGAGATGACACAGCCAGTAAAGAATACCAAGGTTGGATCGCCGGCACCCTTGTACAAGTGGCTGTGTGTGCCTGTAAACCAGGGCTGTGGAGGTGGGGACAGGCGGATACCTGGGGCTTCATGGTCAGCCATTCTAGTCAAATGGCAAGCTACTGGTTTGGTGAGAGACCCCATCTCAAAAAATAAACTAGAGATCAGCTGAGGAAGACACCTGAAGTCAAGCTCTGGCCTCCATATGCAGCTGCACAAATGTGCACACGCACACACACGTGCACACACACACACACACACACACACACACACACACACACACACACACACACACACACACGTATACACCTACACATAAAACCCTGAGAACCTGGGACTGGAAAGATGGCTCAGTGGTTAAGAGTGTGTTTGCTCTAGCAAAAGACTCCAGCAGTTTGGTTCCCATCATCCACATTAGGTAGCTTACAATCACCTGCAACACCAGTTCCAAGGAGATCCAATCCTCTAACCTCCATGGACACCTGTACTCATGTACACACACACACAAAATCTTTAAAAAAAAAAAAAAAAAAAAAAGCAAAACCCTTTGAATTCACAGGTGGGGACAGGGAGGCCGGGTTTTCTTATCTCAGAGTAATTTGACACTGAATCAGCAGAACTCCAAGCTTCCCTAGGCAAGGTGACCCACCCTACCTACCCCTGTGGCTGACAGTGAGTCCAGGAAAGAGGGGAGGGGCGAATAGGATTTCAGGCTGTCACAGGAACTTTTCTTTCCCTGAGCCCTGGAACATATGGCAGGTGTTCTGAAAACTCCATTTCTGCCTCCCTAGGCTGGCTGAGGCCCATCAACATGTGGGGAGGGGGGAAGGGGGGGCGGCGTCTGCCTCTCCATCTGGAAGGCCCTCTTCCTCCACCATGGTAACTGCAGCACAATGGAGTCTCCAGTGTGAGCCTTACATCCAGGCTCCCCAGACAGACGCTGGGGGAGAACTCCAGGGCCCCAAGGAAATCTAAGTCTCCTGCCCCCAGCAGGCCTCGATGCAGTCCACAGATCACAGAAGCAGCAGGCCAAAGGCCATGGTGTGCCTGAAACACGAAGCCTGTGTTGCCCTTCTCTGATGGAGACGTCTCACAGGCCTCTGCATCTCTTCCTGAGATGATAAGATGCTACAAAAGGCTGGGCTCTGAGCAAAATTAGCTCCCACTGATAACTTGCAAATTCTAGCTGGTCCAGATTAGAGACAACTTACAATAGGGTGGAGGTCCTAGGGGAAAATAAGACAGGGTTTGGGAAATTTGAAAGCCACTCTCCTGCCAGGCACTGTGGCATATGCCTGAAACCCCAACACTGGGGCGGATCACAAAGTTTGGGGGCAGCCTGATCTATACAGGGTCTTCCAGACTCACTAGGGTTACATAGCAAGACCCTGTAGTAATATTAGGTATGTTTTCAAGGTCAAAGAGATATATTTTAGATAGACAGGTCATCTTCAAACACTTCAGAGATCTGCAGAATATAGCATTTAAGATGTTTTAATAACATAGGTTCTTTTTTTTTTTTTTTTTAAATGACTATGAGACATGTCTGCTCCTGGCAGCACCAATCTACTTCAGAGAAGATGATGGGCATCAAAGAAACTCCATATGGAGTTTACTTTCTTTGTGGCAAAAGATAGCCACTGGGCAAGAAAATGCCCTTGCCTCAACTGCTGACAGTATGCTGTCCAAATGAACAAGCAGGACACAAAAGAAAAGACTGCTGAACCTTGCCAAGACAAGGTAGGACAGCTTCACAGAAAAGTCTGTCAGATATGCTAGGCCTGTAGGCCAAAGATGAATGTACCAACATTGCAGAGGAACCTTGGGTGACTATCCAGGCAGCCAGCTGTTTCTGTCATTTCTCATTTTTTGGAAGTCGATTGCTTGTACTTCCTGCTTACTCAGTTAATATTATTTCCTTCTTGGGTCTCTGATGGAGTTGATAGTTATAGTTTTCCTTGTTAACAAATTCAGAAAAGAAACTCACTAAAGAGATGCAAAGTGTATAAATTTGAAAGACATCAAAAGATAGTTTAGGGTTGGTAATACAAATTAGGATAGAAAATGAATTAGGTATAACATTTTGGATTCACCAAAATAGGATAAATAATGGAGTATTTTTCTCTAAATTTGTCATATGCTTATGGACTGGACATTGCTAATGTAGTTCTTGACTATATAAATTATATGTAGTTATTGCATTTACTGTATACAGTTTTTCTTATATTAGTTATAACCTTTATTATTTTAGACAAAAAAAAAAGGGGAAACGTGGTGATATATTGTTTGTAATATAGGAAATAAAGCTTGCCTGAAGATCAGAGGACAGAGCCAGCCACAGAGTTAGCCATAGAGATCAGGCAGTGGTGGCACACACCTTTAATCCTAGCACTTGTGAGGCAGAGGCAGAGATCCGCCTGGATTTCTGTGAGTTCAAGGCCACAGTGGGCTACATGAGATTAATCCAGTCTAAAAGAGAAACAGAGCCAGGCAGTGGTGGCATGTCTTTAATCCCAGCACTAGGAAGGTTGAAAAAGGAAGTATATGGCTGGGCAGAGAAAGGAATATATAAGGTGGGAGGAGATAGGAACTCTGGCTCTTTCAGGCTGAGGAGCTGGTGAGGTAAGGTGGTGGCTGTGGCTTGCTCTGCTTCTCTGATCTTTCACCTTTCACCCTGATATCTGGCTCCAGGTTTTTATGATAAGGCCATTTAGGATTCATGCAACAGGGGGAGGTTTCCAATGGGGTGGGTAGCCCAAGTTCACAAATGCAGCAAGAAGCAATGAAGGAAGAGGTCTGTGATGGGACAGAGCTTCACCAGTGTGCCTGCCATCCAGGGAGTGATGAGGAAAGAAGACATGAATCCAGAGGGGAAAGAGCCTGAGATCTGGCCATTATACTGAGGCTCTTGGTCGATCCTAGAGTGGTTTTTAAGTAGCAAGATGGCATAGCAGACCTCTGTGAGCTCATAGAGACCTCAGGAGCTCACCCAAGCTACAGTACAGTGATAGAGCAATCCTCACTAAGAAGGACAGATGGCCAGAGATCGACTGTTTTCAGTGAGGCCTCTTGGGAAGGTGTAGGCCCTACAAGGAATGTGCTCAGGCCTGGTGGCTACATCATGGATGCAAATCAAGCAGTTCTACCTCTAGACACCTCTAAACACAGTGAGTGCTAGGGCCCATTCAGAGTCCTCATGGAAAGAAGCAGGAGACACGAGGTCAAGGACACAGGCCTGGCATCAAGCAGCTACAGTCTCAAATACTATCTGTCATATACTAGCTGTGCAACCCAAAACAAGTTTCTAAGCTTCTCTGAGCCTTGATCACACCAGTTACCAAGACTGTCTTCTAAAGCCACTATGTAGATTCATCAAGATCCAACTGTGAATATCCTTATTTGCTGTGGGACTAATCCTTCTGTGTACTGTGAAGGTGTTTTGCTCTCATTGGTTTAATAGAGAGCCAAATGGCCAAGAGCTAGGCAGAAAGGTTAGGAGGGAGAGCCAGACTGAGAGAATGCTGGGAAGAAGTGGGCAGAGTCACCAGTCAGATGCAGAGGAAGCAGGAGATGAACATGCTATGCTGAAAAAGGTACTGCCACATGGGAGAACGTAGACAAGAAATATGGGTTAAGTTGTGAGAGCTAGTTAGTAACAAGCCTACGCTATTGGCTGAGCATTTATAATTCATAAGTCTCTGTGTGGGTATTTGGAAGCTGGCTGGCAGGACAGAAAACCCCACCTACACTTATTAGTTTCTCTGGTATATTAAAGGTGCAAAAAATATTAAGACAGTTATTAAGACAGTTCCCACCCAGCAAAGGATGAACACGGAGGCCATGGAAAGTGTACGGAAATAAGTAGTGGTTTAGCAGCAACTCAGCGGGCCACAAGTAAGTTTCTACTTACTTGCCAGCAGGAGGCAGGAGACGGCCACAGTATACAGCTGCTTGGAGGTGGTGATGTTGTATTGGTCCATGAAGTGGTCCAGCAGGTAGATGGCCAGGTGCCGGGCTGAGGGGCACAGATGGCAGTGTTTGCTCAGCAGGGTCAGAATGTCTACAAAGAACCGACGGCTCTTCAGGAGCGGGGAGTGGGCGCGGAAGGTAGGCAGCTTCAGTTCCTGGAGGAAAGTGAACAGAAAAGGGTCAAGGACACTGAGACCCAGGGCCTGCCTGTGGATTGGCAGGGGTGGGCAGCGATTCCCTCTACGTCCCGCTCATTTGTTTCAAACCTCAGGTGGTAGTGCTTCTGTTCTAGAAACTCTAGACCGGTTCCCATCCACCCTCCCTAAGCACAGGCCCATGAGTCCCATCATGATGACAGAGGAAGCCAGGCATTTTCCAAAGAAAGGTGCTGTGCCAATACTTAAAGCTACGAAAAAATGGTGGTTTGAAGGCAGAGACCCACATCCAAATTCTGATTCTATCGAGCAGCCAAGTCACTTCTCTCTCTTTTTTCTTCTTCAGTAGCCGAGGTTTAATGAGAACGTGTGCCAGATGTCTAGCACACAGAAACCTCTCTGGGTTCTCTGCTAATTCCCTCTGTGTATAGGATTGTGAGTGGTTGTCCCCCCCCCAACCCCGTTTGGGAAAAAAAATAAAAACAAGACTAAACTAAAAGGTGCTGTTGGACATGACTGTAACCCCAGTACCCAGGAAGCAGAGGCAGGAGGATGGCTGAAAGTTTGAGGCCAGCCTGTTCTACACAGTGAGTTCTAGATAGCCAAGGCAACAGCAAGGACATGCCTCAGTAAGCAAACAAACAGATTTGAAAGACTAGTTCAAGGAACTAGCAAGTCCTGTCCACCGTGACCACTCACAGTGGACATTTTGCCTTCTGTTTCCACCCTTACTGTTTCCCACTACAGGCTCTGGACACCACCATTCTCTTCTCTCATGGTAATTTCTACACTAGCATGGTTTCTGAATTTATCTGCTGAACACAAGAAAAAACAGGGAAAGAAATATTAAATCAAGAATGTGTTTTCCTTTTGGAGACAGGGTCTCACTCTACGGCTCAGGCTGGCTAGAACGTACTATACAACATGGCCTGTCTTGAAGTCAAATCGCTGTCTCAGCTTCCCAGACACTAGATTTCAGATGTAAGCCATCAAACCTTCTTTTTCAAAATTATTTTTATTTTATGTGTATGAGTATTTGCCGACATGTATATGTGGGGTGTGTGTGTGTGTGTGTGTGTGTGTGTGTGTCTACATACATTCATGGTGCTCAAGGAGGCCAGAAGAGGGCATCAGATCCCCTGGATTAGATTCTTGTGAGCTGCTGGGGACTAAACCTGGGTTCTCTGAAAGAGTTGAAAGTGCTTTTAACTGCTGAGCCATCTCTCTAGCTCCCCACTTTTGCCCCCCCCACACCGAAAATAAAGGACTATGTAGCTCAGTCAGGCCTGGAACTAGTCATCCTCCTGTCTCAGCCTCCCAAGGGCTGGGATTACAGCTGTGCACCACCACAGCCTGCTCCAACGAAGATTTTTACAATAATTTTTTCTTATATACCTAAGATATTTGCCTTTTAATCAGGGTAGGTTAGATATATCTGTTTAGGAAATATCTCCACGGCTCTTGGCTTTAGTGCTACTTTCCTGGTAGAAACTCTGGTGTTAGGAGAGCAAAGTGGAGGAAGAGAATGGGCAGATGGAAGCCCAAGAGAGGATGAGGCAGAGGTCATACATCAGCCTGTACAGCCCAAAGGCTGCAGGCACAGAACTAGGGAATGCTGGAGGCTGGACGCTGGTACAAGCTGCTGGGCTGTCCATAATGTGTCTCACTGGATCTGAAACATCACCACCATCTGGTTGCTGAAACCACTGAGACTGTTTTGTTCACAATCCAAACAGTCCCCATTGGTCCTCTGGCCTGGACCTGTGGCATTCTGGGCTAGTTCAGCTCTCATGTGTGGCTGAATGTAGCATGTATACTTTTCTATCTCTCACACACATACAAATTTTTTTTTTCATTTTTCTTTATTAAGAAATTTTCTACTCCACATACCACCCACAGATCCCCCCTCCTCCCTCCTCCCACCCCCCAGCCCTCTCTCCCAAGCCACCCCACATCCCCACATCCCCCAAATTAAGGTCTCCCATGGGGAGTCAGTAGAGCCCGGCACACTGAGCCTAGGCAGGTCCAAGCCCCTTCCCACTGCACCAAGGCTGCGCAAGGCGTCACACCACAGTCATTGTGCTCCCAAAAGCCTGCCCAACACATACAAATCTTATTGGCATTCTGTCAACTAGGGAAACAGAAGAAAAAACGGAAGGAAATTGGCAGACAAGGAATTATGAGGACTTACTAGAAACATTAAGCAAACTGGTACCTTCATTCTATGTCAGCCCTCTTATCAAATGGTGCTGAGGATCAAACCCAGAGCCAAACACATGCTAGGCAAGGCCTCACTACTGCACCCAGCACATGCTTCTCTAACTCTTTACTCAACCAGCTGCAGACTAAGACTAGAAAGGAGTGTCTGTTCATTCATTCACTAGAGATATGAACTCACTCATTTCACTCAGTAAGTATCACGAACCTTCCACATACTAGGCATTATTTTAGGCTCCAGGGATATAGCTGAATTCAGTAAGGCAGATTCAAACCTAACTGTAGGATTTGAAACTAAAAAACTCTTAAAGGGAAACGGAGTAGATGCATATGACTAAGTATATGCATAAGACAAAGCAATGGTTTCTTAAATATGATTCCAAAAGCTGAGGCAGCAGAGAAGAAGAAATATAAGGTAAATTTTAAAATTAAACTTTCATGCTGGAGAGACAGCTAAGCAATTAAAAGGGTTTGCTCTTTTCCCAGAGAACCTGAGTTTGATTCCAGCCCACAGTCCACAGCCACCCGTGTAAATTCAGCTCCAGGGGATCTGACACCTTCTTCTGGCCTCTGTAGGCACTTACACACACACACACACACACACACACACACACACACACACACACACACACACACACAGATACAAAATAAAAACAAATCTTAAAAACAAAAATAGGCAAAGTATGGAAAAGGCATTTCTCTAAAGAAGATTAAAAATGGCTAGTAAGCAAATGAAAAGACGCTGAACATTGCTAATCACTAGGGAAATACAAATAAAACCACAGAATACTTCAAATTCCTTGGAGACGAGTGTTACTTAAAAAACAATGAGCTGGGTGGTGGTGGCGCATGCCTTTAATCCCAGCACTCTGGAGGCAGAGCCAGGTGGATCTCTGTGAGTTCGAGGCCACCCTGGGCTACAGAATGAGTTCCAGGAAAGGCTCCAAAGCTACACAGAGAAACCCAGTCTTGAAAACAAAAACAAAAACAAAACAACAACAACAAAATCAAACAAACAAATGAACAAAACAAACCCAACACCAAAAGCACAAGTTTAAAATAAACAAGTGTTGGTGAGGACGTGGGAAAATCGGAACCCTTGATTACGGGTAGTGGGGAAGTCCCATAGGACACCTCCTGTGGGAAGCACATGGCAGATCCTCCTATTGCACCCAGTCACCACAGGAGCCAGCAAACCCAGTCCTTGGTACAGACCTAAGAGAAATGAAAACACGGTGGCACCACCGTGAAAGCTGCCCCTGCATGACAACCATACTCCCTACAGGGAGGGAGCCCGGTCTGGCAGAAGCTTGGGTTCAGATCTCCCAAACCTCTCTTCTCTTCTGGTTTGTCCTCAGAGGTCAAGAGGTCAGCATCAGCTCTCTCGGCAGCTCTAGAGCTTTGCTCCTAGAAGGTGAACAGAGCCTGGATACATTTCTTCCTGTCTCTTAGTTCATGTGGGAAGAAACCTAATTAAAAAAAAAAATCCCTTAATCCCAAGGCTTTGCTGAACTAGAAAGAGAACCAGAGGCCAGAAGACTTTCAAAATAATGGGTTTCATTCTGACATTTTCCTATGTGTAACATTGTATATTGCTGTGTGTGTATGTCTCATTTAGTTTAACCAGGGCCATCTGTGTGAGCACTAGATTGGAACTCTTCCTAAGAGCCTGGTGGGTACACAACTGAACGCAATGACTTTCCCCCTTCTCCAATGCATCAGAAGCCAAGTGTCCACTATCTTGGAGCCTTCAGCTGTACCCTCTTGCAAAGGATTATCCCAGCTGGTCGTGTTGACTGTTTATAGCCACTTCTGGTCACAAGCCCCTCACCTGAGTATCTAGCCATTCTCTACCACTCTTGCATACAACCCTGCCTTAACTGCACATGGCTTCTGGGAGGGGCTACAGTATACAGGCCTGGGGAGTCTTGGTGAAGGAAGCTCTCACCTCTGCTGGGTCAAGGCTTCCCAGGTGTGGCTTTTTTGGGAGCAGGGAGGAGTACTCACACCCCTTTAAGCAACTCCTATCCTCTGTAAGGAAGACAAACTCATTTGGTTCCCCCAGGATGGACTCTAGCTGAGACCTCAGGGGAAGGGATAGACCAACTTCTTCCACCATGAAGGGATTTTGGCAACAGTAGCAAATTCGGGAGAAAGGGATAAGGCTCTTTGAACCTCTCCTCCATCGTGCCTGCCTGACAAGCCCATTCTTGTGCAGACCCAGCGCAGGAACTGGCAGCTGCTTTGAGTTCATAATTCCGATGGCTCTGTGTTACCCAGAAAATGGCTTGTTTGTTTTTTGAGACAAGGTCTTGGGTAGCCCAAGATGGCTTCAAAATCACTGCGCAGCCCAGGATGACCTTGATCTCCTACCATATCCACCTCCCGGATGCAGGAATTACAGGTCTGAGTCACTATGCATGTTTTTTTTTTTTATTTTTTGAGGTAGTCTCTTACAATGTAGTCCAAGCTGGCCTCAAACTTGCTAAATTGGCCCAGGCTGACTTGAAACTCTGCCTTAGCCTGCTACCTTCTGGGATTACAAGTGTGAGCCACCATGAGCAGATCAACATTTTATTTTTGAAGTCATGAAGATATTTTGTTCCCAACTTAAATTAAGGAAATGGCCTGCCAATGCTGCATGCTTTTTGTCTACATTGTTCGGTGGATTCATGTGCTACTCCAGGAGTTCTAACTCCTTTAGGGCAGGATTCCATACCCCAGCACCTTAGTGTAAATACAACAGCTGGATGTCCAATAACTAACTGTTGAGGAATGGAGGA